AGTGACAAATCGAGCTATTTATGTTCTTTAAAGAATAAAAATGTTTATCTGACCCATCTGTTTGTTATTTTTCAGTCTATATATGGATTTTGGACAGGGGTTTAATCAGAAAAAAAAAGCAAAATTCATTGCAAATATTTCTAAAATGGCGCCACAAAAATCTGACTTTGAGAGTCAAAAAAACAACAAAAAAAAAAAGAAACGGAGCAAGTTTCCTGGAGGAACTAAGAGCATCACTGAGTTTTGAAACTTCACTCTGAAATGCAAACTTTAGATAATCTGATCTCCTGACGGAGACGGTGGGTGGATGGACAGACAGCTGGATTAATGTCAAACTGTAGTTATCTAAGGAACTGAGTGTTGTCACTAACGAGACATTTATCACCCCCAGCTCCACATGTCCGACCTCCATGTCATTTCCTTCAGGCTGTGATGCGGCCCTCACCGTCACAGTATTCGTTCTGGATCAGCATGTGGTCGTCTTCTGCCCAGGCTGAATAATATCGGACAACATGAGGGTGGTGGCCCAGCACGGCGTGAGCGTACACCTCCTTCAAGGCCAGCTGCCTGGGAGGAAAACCAAACATTTTAACGCACCGAACTGACCTGACCCGGCCCGGCGGCGAGCCAGACTCAGACTTACTCGTTGGCGGAGCCGGCCAGGGGTCGTCTGGAGCGCTTCACGGCGTACAGACAGCCGTCCAGCCGGTTCACGCATTTATAGACGGCGCCAAACTCGCCGACGCCGACACACTCCAGCTGCAGGAACTCGCTCTCATAGCGCGACAGCATGAAGGCCTGGACCGCTCGGCGCTGGTGGGACCAGAAAGAGCAAACACTTCTAAAAGCAGCAGAGTATGAGAGAAACTGGGGCCGTAAAGTTTGTTCCACAAACAAAAAAATACAAATTAGTTTGAAACTGAAAAAAAAAAAAAAAATTTATATATATATATATATATATATATATATATATATATATAAATAAGATTTGAATCTAAAGATAAAATTTTAATCTCAAAATAAAATTTGAAACTGAAAATAAAATTTTGTTCTCATTTCATCTTTATTTTAATACTTTTTTCCAGTATCAAATTTGAAACTGAGAAAAGGAAACTACTTTTCAGATTAAAGTTTTTTTTTTACTTCAATTTCCCCCCCCCCACCACTTTCAAATTTTCTTCAATTTAAATTTCAAATCTTTTTTTTTTTTTTCCTTTTGAACAAACTTTATGGTCCCAATTTAGCTCCATACAGAGCATCATGCAGAGGAAGTCCTGGATTCTCTTTGATCTCACCAAATATGGTGCTACTTCCTCCCTAAAACAACAACAAAAAAACAAAAAGTGTCTGACAGCATTCAGCTTTCATTTCCCTCAGACTCCTCAGAGGAATCCCGGAAACAGAAGTGGCAGAGAGTCATTTTGGACCAAACGAGGCGCCAGCTGAAGATGACAAAGCCGATGATGAAGGCTCAGCGGAGGAATCTGATAGGCTGGATTATTTTCAGCTGTGGGCATCGATAAAAATAGTCGTACCTTTGGTGGGAGGAAGGCTTCATCATCCTCTTCAGATGACGCCAGGCTGTGCTTCAACCTGGAAGATTTTTAACAGAAACCCCCCAAGTGAAAATTAAAAAAGAGAGATCACATTTCTGCCGTTTCATCCATCCCTCATCAGTCCCGTTAAATCCAGAATATAATTTCCAGTTCTCCTTGTCGCACATAAAAGCCATAAATGATCAACTCCATCATCCAGCAGAGATCTAAAGGGCCAGATATTCTTAACTAAATACTCATTTTCATTATATGATAATAAAAATCTGAAAATAACTGCAAAGATTAAAAGAAAAACATGTTTCCCATCCCACATGTTACACACACTATTTGTAACATGTGACACTATTTTGTTGTGCGTTTAGTCTTAAATGTATTCATTTCAAAGTGCATCTCTTTTTTGCTTATTTTTTAATTCTTCATTCTGTCAAGCTGGTTATTATTTTGTACATCAATACCCGTTTGTTAGTCTGGAATATGTGTTTTACATGTTGTAACTGGTGAATTAATAATAAAGAAAAATCAGGAGAATAATTTCCAATTCTTCATGGTTACTTAATTTTTTTTCAGAATGTGAAGCTTGAAATCTTTTCCAGCTTTGATGGTAAAAATCTTTAAGAAAAAAAATATTATTTTGTCCCACATGAAGATCATGAATGTTTTAAAAGTGTTAAAAAAATTAAACTGTTGAAAATAATAAATAGTTATCGCTAAATAATATTTGACATCTTTTCACACTGATCAGTCCCTCCAGGATTTCATGATTGCTTTTGTGGTTTTTTTGCAGTAAAAATTATTTACTTTGTGGTGCTAAATTAGAAATATATGCGAGAAGTTTTGCGTTATTTGACTTTTTGTTACTCCCCATATGAATCACAGAATATAACTTATGCTGTTATTGCACATCGGTTTTTATTTTTTATATAATTAATGTGTTGTCTTTTAGTGCACATAAAAAAAGAAAATAGTTGCACATCCCTTGAATTATCTGGTGTTTCTGATAACGGCACAGTATGTGTAATTTTGTTTTTTAACTTTTTATGAGCTTATACCTCGACGCTGCTGTTGCACCTGAATTTTCCCCACTGTGGAAATATGTCTGCACTTTAAAATGTCTAATCGATGAGGGATGTCCTGGTAAAACACCTGTTGCTGTAGCCGTGGGCCTCCTCTTCGCCGCTCCTCCACAGCACCTCGCTCTTTCTGCGCACCGTTTCCGGAGTGAAGGGATTCACGTTGACTGAAGGAGCCTGGACCAGGCAGGCGGCAGCAGAGGAAAAACGCAGACTCCTCTGGTGGTGACTGACCTTAATGTTGGAAAACAGCTGGAAGGATTTGGAGAGCAAACTCTGCAAGAAGAGTGAAATAAAATGATTCAGGTTCATCAGAAGGAGCCTTGGAGGAGGAAATTCACTTCAATCAATTAATCAAGTTTACTTGTGAAGCACATTTCAGCAACAAGGCAGATCAACGTGCTTTAAATCATAAAAACATCATACAGTCACCAACGAAACTGGTAGCAAACATTACATCAAAATCATCAAGACATCAAACATGTTGGTCAATGTTTCAAATTCAACTATAAACAGCTGAGATTTTAGTTTTGCTTTAAAGGAACTCAGTGTTTCAGCTGTTTTTCAGTTTTCTGCAAGTTTGTTCCAGATTTGTGGTGCATAGAACATGAAGGCTTCATGAAGGCTAATTTGGTTCTGCTTCTGTGGATGCAGAACAGAACCAGAAGGTCTGGGAGGTTGAGCCAACCACAGCAGATCCTTAATGTACTCTGGTGCCAAGTTCAGTGATTTACAAACCACCAACAGTGTTTTAACATCTCTGAGCTCCAGGGAGCCAGTGAAGGACTGTAGAACTGGGTGATGTGATCCATCATCCTGGTTTTAGTGAGAACCGCAGCAGCGATCTGGATCAGTGAGGACACCGTTGCACTAATCAATGAGACTAAAGAGAATTCATGGATGCATTTCTCTAGATCAGTGGTGCCCAAAGTGGGTCCTGGAGGCCCGGCATCCTGCATGTTCTAGTTCTCTCCCTGGTGGTAGTAACAACCTTTCCAGCAGGTCAATGTTCTTCTTAATGATTCTCTCTAATGATCCATCATTGGATCCAGGTGCGCTAAACCAGGGAGAGAACTAAAACATGCAGGATGCCGGCCCTCCAGCACCACTGCTCATATCTTCCTTTAATCCTCGAGATGTTTTCCAGATGGTTCTTACCTTGGGAGTGTTGGGCGTGTCGCATAGTCTCAGTTTCCTCCAGGAGGCGTAAGGTATGGGGCTGGTGCTCCGCAGGGGGGATGAGGAGGAGTTGCTCCTGCTGCGGTGGCGCTGCACCCGGGGCGTCCTGCAGGCCAGGCCGGGGCTGCACCCCGGGAGACCAGCGCAGTCATCTGAGGTGTTGTCGCTGCTGTTTCCCTCCTCGCCGCAGCTGGAGAAGTCCAGCTGCTGGCTGATCTCACCAAACAGAGCCGCCATGCCTGAAGAATGAGGCTTTGGGAAGGTTTCCTTCATGTTCCTCAACTCTGACCTTAAAATCAAACACACAGGCTTAAATATAGGCCTTCTTCTATTCCCCAACCAAGTGATGCTCAATATCATTGATTAATACAAAAGTTTCGGTTTTATCCATATAAAACAGGACTTTTATTAGAAATAAGAATAAAAAACACATATTTATGTATAAGGCCCACCTAGAAAAAGTAATGTTTACTTACAAGCAACACGCCCTGCAATCCACCACAAACACGCTCACATTTAGCGCCAGGTATGTAAAATACTTCCTGTTTAAATCAATTAGCGCACCGGGTGAACGCAGCAAGCGATCTGATTGGCTGATCGTTTAACCCCTTTTTTCTTTTTATTTATTGAAGATTAAAATAACAATATGACAAGAAACACAGAATACAATTTGACACGAGAAACTGAGCAAAAGAGAGAAATAAACCCATTTAAGAAAAGAATATACTATGAGAATATTACATAAAAATACAAACCTTGATAAAAAAAAATAAAACAGAAAATATTACCAATATTTCGAATCTTAGATTAAGTTCTTAACATATTGATACAAAGATGATTTCACATAATCAATAGAATAAATCTTTTTTGCCATTGGAGCAGTCAAACCTTTATTATTTTGAAAATTACATGTGAATCTCAAAGTGCTATAGAATGACAATAAAAGTATTAACCAGTGTAAAATAAAATAAAAACTCATTTAAAAATATGAATCATAATATCTTCAGAACAAAAAAGATCAATTACAATATGCTAATAAGAAAACTTAAATATGGGACCAAAGAAAATTTAAAGTATTCGTAATAATTTAAAGGTTATTTATTTTTAATCTGACAAACAAGTCAAATTGGAACGCACATTAAAAATCTTTTTTTATATATATAAACCTGTATAAAAAAAGATTTAGAAGATAAAACATCAAAACTGTAATAAAACCCTGAAGTATGTTCAGAGCATGTTAAATAAACAAAAATTAGGTCATGCTATGAAATAGTAATGCAGACACGTGGGCGGAAGTCAGCTACGTCATCACAACAGTAAAAGCAGCCAGTCCGTGGATGTGACACGCTTACAAATCCGTGGAAAACAACCGACAGCAGCAGGGAACCATGATCCGGCCCCAGCAGCGTGTCTAACCCGCTCCCCGCTCCAACACCGCCGGATCCTTCGCCGTTCCTCTCCCCGCACCGAGTCCGCGGAGGCTGCGGCGCCATGGTGGAGCAGTCGGACCGAGCCCCGCTGCTGGACTGGGAGGAGATCCCACCGCCCGACCCGAACCAAGCGGCCCAGCCGCCGCCTGAGCCGCAGCGGGAGGACGACACCGCCGCGACGGACAAACGGACACCGATGTCCGGTACGGGGTGGAGCGGCGCCGTCACCGCCGTCCCCACCGCCGTTACCTACAGCCCCACACGGAACATCACAGCCGTGGTTGTGAGCAGGGACAAGCCGCCCGGGTGCGGCTTCGCTCGCCAGCAGCCTCCCGGTTCGACCCTCCCGTTCCCCGGGGTCACGGCGCGGGGTCAGTGGGAGGAGAAGGACCAGATCGTGGCTGTTTTTGTGGTGACTTTTGATACGAGATCAGGTGAGCGAGTGAACCATGAAACGATCATCATGTGATCTCTGCCATAATTTACCGGATTTTATGTGTTAAAACAAAAACATATTGATTAATATTTATTCAGGAGAAGGTCAGGGGTCAGCGACCTTTCAACCCAAAAGTCAGTATCACGTTCAGTTCAGCTACACATTTTTTAGAGCCACAGAAACAACATGACTAAAACAAAACAGCTTGTTTTTATCATTCCTATAGGAAATTAGAATGATGGAAATTAATTTTAATACCATTTTCTCCAATAGGGCATGAATTGTTATTTTTAATAGAAAATGAGGTAAAATTTACAGAATCAACCAATCTTCAAAAGAAGATTGCATAACAAGAAGGATGTTCCTTCACCTATTGTATTCAGTCTTTCTGGAAATGTTCTGCATATATGCAAGGCCGGATCTAGAAGGATGTAGATCCCAGGCCCAGTGGTGTCACCAGAAAGCTATGGAGGTAAATGGGCCCATAAAATTAGTTCTAGAAATAATAATAATAAAAAATAGAGACTTGAAAAACTGTTCAAAACTACTTTTCAGATTCAAATTTGTTTTTTCAGTTACATATTTTTTTTCAGTTTAAAACTTCTTGCCATGTTTGGTGTGGGGGCGGGGCCTGAAGCACCAGGGGCGTGGCCTCATATGACAGGAGGTGTGAAATCATCACAGCTCAACTCAGCAGCTGGAAAAATATTCCCAGCTATTACATTCAGGAACCGTGGGAACTGCAAATGTTTTTAAAACATCATCAATATTTGATTGGTTTTGAAAAATAACATGCTTCACCAATTTAATCTGCTTATGTCAACAGACGACAAAAAATTTATTCAAAACTCCGCATAGCTGTTGTTTTTCAAAACTAATCATACAAACATAGGATTCCCTTTAGTTTTAAAAAATGCTCTTAAGTATCAAAATTTTCTGTTTTGAGATCAATTTATGGCCCCAATTTAGCTCCATAGCTCTACACTTTGCAGCTTTGGATCCTCAAGTGGCTCTTTGGCTCATTTAATATGTTACATGATGAAATATTGGCTGTTTTTTTTGTTGTTGTTTATGTGCTGTGGCCCCCCAGACCCCCTGGTTAACCGCCCCTGTGCTATTTTTAAAAACGGTTTTGTGAAATCCTGCAGCAGAAATCTGAACCCTGTTACTCATTTGTGGTTTTTGTGTCGGTGAACACTTTTGTTTGAATCACCTCTGGTCAGTGGTTTAAATAAACAAAACAAGCCATTTCTCTAAAATTTCTTATAATGTAATTTAAAATCCAGCAGAGATAAAGTTTGAAAACGAAGCAGCTATAAATCATTAAGGAGGAAAAACTGAGACTTTGCTTCTGGTTAATGTTTACTCAAAGTCACAATCTGACTCAGCCTTTTTGTCAGAGGTCATGAACTCTTGAATTTATGAGGAACGTCCAGAATTAGAGGAAGTGTCCCAGAGGAAAGTGGAGGCAGGAAGGGAAGTGACATCACTGTCTGTGTGTGAATGGCAGGGAATATGGTGGAGTGGTGTCTCCCTCATGACGTCAACCTGGACGGAGTGGAGTTCAAGTCCATGGCCAGCGGCTCCCACCGGATCACCAGTGACTTCATGTAGGTCCAGATCCGGTCCCGTCCGTCAGAACCGCCCCCCCGTTTCCACCCCGGCTGATTGTTTCTCTTCTGCTCAGATATTTTCGTAAAGGGAAATACTTCGGGCTGGCCTGCTTCGCCAACATGCCGGTGGAGAGTGAGCTGGAGCGCGGAGCGAGGATGAAGTCCGTGGGAATCCTGTCTCCGTCCTACACTCTGCTGTACCGATACATGCACTTCCTGGAGAACCAAGTCAGGTGAGGCTGTGTGTGTGTGTGTGTGTGTGTGTGTGTGTGTGTGTGTGTGGGGTGTGTGTGTATGTGTGTGTGCGTTCGCGTGCGTGCGTGTGCGTTCGCGTGCGTGTGCGTGTGTGTGCGTTCGCGTGCGTGTGCGTGTGTGTGCGTTCGCGTGCGTGTGTGTGTGCGTGTGCGTGTGTGTGTGCGTTCGCGTGTGTGTGTGTGTGTGTGTGCGTGCCTGGGCCCCAGCCTGTCTGCCTTCTTTCTTTATTTCTCACCAAACTTTTTCTTCTTTGTGTAAAATGTTCTCATCCATTAAACATGAAGTCAGTTAGTGTCTGTTTCTCCAGAGTCTCAACACAAAGCATCTAGAAACCTTGACAGCATCTTTTCTCCTCTCTTCTATAACTCTGTTCTTCTTCCACAATAACTTGACTCTCGCTGTGTAGAAATAAAAACAGCCGCAGGGATCCAGCTTCCTGCCCCTCACTGGTTATTCAGCTTGAGTTTTCTGCTGCACAGGTCCGTTGTTGTGTTTTAGGCATCAAGCAGACGCCTAAATAAGCCGTCACAGTCAGCAATAAATCAATTAATCGCTTGATAAATGAAAATGGGAGCAATCATTTCCATTTGCATTATGTAGTTCACTTAATATTTAGAGAAGCTGCCATTTAATATTGGAAAGCAGCCATTTTGAGAAATGCTGCAAACATTTGACATAGTGTGCAAAGGAGTTTTCACTTTTTTTGTTTTTAAAAGTCCTGTCTGTGAGTTTTGCCTGTTTTCCTTGTCTGAGGCTGGAGATATGTTTTGTTTTATTGAGACTTCATAATTCAGCTTATTTGTTATTTTAGTTGTGTTATTTGTTTATTTTGGCTATGTAAAATATCTTCCAGTTCCAGTGTTAGATTTATTTAGGAATTTAAAGTTTATTGATCTTTGATAATGACAATATTACCGTTTATTGCTATAAACAATAGTGCGTTAGCTTAGTTTTGTAATTGTGGAATGTTTTATAATTTTAACCAAAACAAATCAACACACCTTTAATTCTGTTGTGCAGCATTATTCTCAGGTCAGAGTGAAATAAATTCAGCCATAAATGCAGTGAACTCTGGACTTTATGAGTTAAAGCTTAACAGGCCTGTTAACCAAGATAAATGATGAAACTGGCATAAACATTTACAGATGCAAACAAGGCGGAAACACTCAGGCGAAAAATAATAACTGAGACTCTGATAAAAGAGTAAAAACCAAATATTCAGAAATGGATGCAGAAAAAGTATTCAAAGTCTGAACCTTTTCAGTTTCCAGTTGGATTTTCTTATAATTTCATACAGCAGACAAAGTCAAAGTAAAGTCTGATTGAAGTGGAACAAAAAAAAGGTTTCAAGCTTTTTCCAAATAAAATGTATGATGTTCATTAGTACTCAGCTGCACTGAGTCAATCCTTGGTGGAATCAGCTTTTTCCTTGGCTGATTTTCAGATAAGATCGGTTTCTCATGTAAGCATCAGTCAGTTGTCGATCAGCCAAAATTAAAAAAATCTGTGCAGATTTATCAGTGCATCTTTGATAATGACAATATTATCGTTTATCGCAATAAACAATCGTGCATTTGCACTATTTGTCTAATAGGGCTAAAGCACTTGATTCTGTTTTTATTTGCATCACCTGCTTCAGCATCACTTTGTGCTGGTTCTTAACAACAAACCGTCCAATAAATACACAGACATTTGTTAAAAAATTAGAAACATTTTCAGTACTTTTACAGGCAGAGTGGGACATAAAGTTATGATATATGGATGTAAATGAGCTTTGAAAAGAAAAATGAAACATTTGAGATAAAAACAACTCAAAACTGATGCAAATTTGTAAGTGTGAACAACTAAAACTCAGGAGATTTTGTTAGATGTCTGCACATTTTTATTAAATTTTTATTTTTGTTAGATGTCTGCACATTTTTATTTAATTTTTGTTTTTGTTAGATGTCTGCACACTTTTATTTAATTTTTATTTTTGTTAGATGTCTGCACATTTTTATTTTCTCTTCCAGCACAAATTTGTTGAATAAAATCACACAACGAACACAGCTTCAGTGAATCACTCACACCTACGGCTGTTCGGTGTGACCGGATGCTCCACCTGTGAAAAGATGTAAAGAAATTACTTAACAGCTGTTCTAGCAAACTTGTTGTGGTTCATGATTTAAATCTGGATGAACTTTGACCTGATTGCATCATTTGTTTCCTGCTGTTTGCCTTGCAGACACCAGCTACATTGTCCAGGCCAGTACTCGCCGCTGGAGGCCTTTTACGAGGATAAGAAGGCGGTTCTGCCGCCGACAGGAAACGGTTTGGTTTCGTTGTGCCCAACCTGGACCGTCTCCGCCATAAATCGCTGCATGCACCCAGAGATGAAGGTCTGAAAACACCAAACTCACTCATTTTACCAGAGAAGCTGCTGCTAGACGCATGGTAAGAGAACCTTTTCCCCTACAGATCACCCACCCGGCTGGCTGCATGTCCCAGTTCATCCAGTTTTTCGGCGAGCAGATCATGGTGCTGTGGAAGTTTGTTCTGCTCCGGAAGCGGCTCCTCATCTTCTCTCCTCCGCCCATAGGCGTGGTCTGCTACCGGGGTGAGCAGCTGGAGCCTGAAAACAAGGCCTTTCAGAGCCATTTGTGGTCACAATCTAAACCCATTTCCTGTTTTTAATCTCTGTTCATCACTGAAGAAATGGTTTATGAATGTAAAATTATAGATGTTCTGTACGGAGTGACATTTGTAAAGTTACATATCAAAAGTTGATGGTAGTAATTTGGATTATTTTGCATAAAGTAAGAGGAAAAAAGTGGGGGTTATTTGTCACAGTTCCAAATTAAATATTTTAATTAGCAATTAGCAAACGCATTATTTAGAGTCAAAACAAATATTTAATTGGCAAGCTGAATGTCAACTTAGCAAGCTAAATAATAGTTTGTAAACTAAATATTTATTGTGCTAAATATTTTGTTCAAAATTTAAATAATTAGCTCCAAACTAAGTATTTAGCTTGAAAGCTGAACTAAATATTTAGCTTCAAACAAAATATTTTATTAGCACACTAACTATTTAGCTTCAAACTAAATACTTAGTTAGCAAACAGAATATTTATTTTGAAGCTATTTAGCTTGCTAATAAAATATTAAGTTGGTAAACTAAATATTTAGTTTAGAACTAAACACTATTCAGTTTGCTAGTTAAATACTGAGTTGGCAAACTATTTATTTTGGAGCAGAATATTTAGTTATATAAATGTCATTTAATGAATGAGTAACATGTGAAATATGACTTTTAAAAACGAACCCCCTCTTCTCTTCTCATGACAACTAAATAGGCCAAATTATTTTTGAGTCTGTAACTTTCCAGTGCTTCTGCTCTGGGTGTCCTTGGATTTGACTGTTCCCTTCTGCTCCTTCAGTGTACTGCTGTTGCTGCCTGGCTAATGCTTCCATCCCTGGAATCGGTGGTTCTGTGCCTGAATTACGGCCGTTTTTCTACATCAACATTGCTGACATCAGCACCCTGGAAACAGAGTTTTCATACGTCGCTTGTGAGTTTCGGCACAATACATTAAAAAAACCCTCTGTGGTTCTTATGTTGTGTAGAAATTAGCAGGTTTTTCTGTTTTTCAAGGCACCACAGAGAAGATTTTTGAGGACAAGAAGGAGCTGTATGACGTCTACATTGATAACCAGAATGTGAAGACGCACAGAAGCCATCTGCAGCCGCTGCTGAGGCTGAACGCAGCAGATAAGGAGAAGTACAGGAAACTAAGTGAACAAAGGTACTAAAGTATTATTACACAGCTGGCATGTGAAAAAAATACATTTATTCCTCTTAGTTGCCATTTTTATTCATTTAATTTCCTGTTTCTCAGACTTTTTATGTGTTTTCGACATTTTCCAGACAGATGCTGCTGTACTCTCAGGAGGTGGATGAAAACTGCACAGCGAATGAAGAGGATCTGTTCATTTTGTGAGTCCAAGGAATGTTTTACTTTTCATGCGTAATTTAAATTATCACTTTAGAAATGGCTAATTTCAAAATAACTTCCTCATTTAAAAAAAATAAGTTTTAATGCTCACTTATGTTGGTTTTTTGGCTTTTCTGAAAAAGAGTTGATGTGTTAACGGGGAGATGGAAACATAACTCCATTCTCCATATTTCTCAGATGTGTGGTTTGCAACCTCTGCTTCCTGTTAAAGGGGCAGTGTAAGTTAAAACCGACTTTTTTGAGCTCATCATCATGTTATAAAGTTTTTCCCTCATCTAAAACAAACCTGGAGTGTTGCTTTGATTGTTCATGTTTGAGAAATCCTTTAATCTCCATGGCAACCATTCAGCTTCGCAAAACCTGTTGGACCTAGCCCTGCCTTTGAGACACAGCTCCTCCCACACTCAGCTCCTTCAGACTAGCCAGCAGCAATTAGCAAACACTTGGTATTTGCTAATTATAGGAGCTGCTGCTCAGTGAAACTCTGGTAAAAACATCTAACAGGTTAATAGAGGAGCCATGTTGTGATGACTTCCTGAAGGTGGAGCTTCAAAAAGAGGAAGAATTCTTAAAGGGAAAGAGACCCAATTTAAGACATTAAATTACAAAGTCAGATTTATTTTAAGTCAGTTTTTAACGACTGAAGTTATTATAGTCATTTAATTGCGCTGTGAAATGGCGCCGTGCTCCTGGAAAACGCATGCGTACTTTGAGAACAAATCTTAGATATTTTAATACTGATGTTGTCTAAAAATGTCTGCCAGGTTCTTCATGGAGCTGAACAACCGGATCTTCCAGACCCTGTGTGAGGTGGCGGGCAGCTCTGACCCCACCATCACCGCTGACCACATGAGGGCCATGGGGCTGGACCCCCAGGGGGACCGCTCCTTCCTGGAGGACCTGCTGGAGGTTTACGGCATCGACGTCACGCTGCTCATAGACAACCTCTGCTGCTCCTAAACCCCCCACCTCCACCCATCGCCTCCAGGACAGCAGCCCCCCCACAGAGCAACACACTGGAAACACTGCCCCCATCTGGGGGTTTTAATCTGTTCACCTCTGGGTTTATGGAGCCGGCCCACTGTGGGTGATCTGGACACTCAGTTGGGGAGATGATTGTTGGATCCTGGTTTGACGGTTCAGAAAGTCTCAAAGTTGCATTAAGGAAAAAAAAGTTTCTCCCCCACTGGAGTTAATTTGTCTACTTGGATTCATTTCATGGGAAATTAAACAGACTCAAACCCCTCAACATGCTGTGAACTTCTGGTTCTGGTAAATCTACTTTATTCTGCGTTTCAGAAAGGAAACAATATGAAAGTTAAAAACTTTTTTGTAAGCGAAAGGGAAACGAATGGGACTGATTCTGTTTTATTACTGGAAGACGTGAATATCATGAAGCATCCAGTCATGAGGAGGATGAATATTATTGTTTCTGGGCTTTTAATGATGTTTTAACCTGATTGAAAATACAAAATATAATTTCTATTATCTTTAAATATAAAGATTTATTGAGTTTTCCATTATAACACGTCAATCTGTTTGAGATGAACTCCTCTTTCATTTTCCCTGTCAAATTTAAAGTTGTGGATTTTGGAGCAGAACTAAGACTAAAAGTAAAATCGCCTCTTTATGGAAAATAGGTTTTCCAAAAATTACTTTGTCATAAACAGAAAATTTGATAAATTGATTGATCGATGATGGTGTTCAAAATCAATGGCTGAAATTTTGTGGAATACTTAAAACCTGGTAATCAATCAACTTAAATGATTTCTACCTCAGTGGGAAGGAGTCATTTAAATTCAGTAATATTTCAAAACATTTATAAAGGAAAGCTAAACGTTGAAGACTGATATATCACTCTCATGCTAACAATTCAAAACCCATTCAGCAGCTCTGCTAATCCTCCTCATTTGCTTTTGCCGCTCCTCTTTAAATATCTTGCGTTGGAGTTGGGGATCATGATGAATGAAATATTTGGGTTGAACTTCCTCCTTTTCAGTTCCTCTTGTTGCCACAGTTGGCTTAATAAAGGCTCTAAAATGAACAATTTGAAAAAGGACTTCAACTGAAATATCATTAATTTTTGAGCCTGTTTAAAACTGAGAAATTCACAATAAATTCAATTATATTATTATTAAAAGCCCCAAATTAATATGACCTTCATGACTGAATGTAACTTCTGTGTAAGAAAGAGAAAGGCTGTTAATAAATACTTTAAGCTTTATGCACTTTCACCACAGGCCGTATCTGCTGGTCTTTCTCTGATTACCAGACCAAAAGGATGGGTGCATTCTGGGAAATGTAGTTTTTAAAACATGTTTTTGTTAAAGCTTCACATTTGTGATATTTGTTGGAGGTTTTCAGTGAACATGCACCACATAATTTGAATGCTGCACTCTGTCAAACACTGGATTATTTCCTCTCTCTCTCTCTCTCTCTCTCACACACACACACACACACTGTTGTGCTTAACTGTAACTTTTTATATGATGGGTTTATGATTTAAACTCTTGAATTAGCTGGTTTCAGGTGTCAACCAGATAATCTAACATCAGAACCTTGTTCGCTCGTCATATTTTGTTGTTTGGGGGCTGATGCAGGAACTTTGGCTGCCTCTCCTCCAGGCTTCGGAGACGGGCTGGAGGAGCTTTCAGTTCTTCGGTCATTTTGATAATTTCAGTGATTTGTTCCATGTTGGAACACAGGAGGCTCACAGTAGAAACTGCATTCCAGTGGGGCTTCAAACTTCTAACGGTCTCACTATCAACTGTTACAAGCATCGCTTCTGTATTTCAAATATACGGTTTCATTTTTTTAACCTTTATGTGTGATTTTGAGTTGGATAAAAAGGAAATGCACTAATTGTGGCAGTTAAGCTTTATTTCAAATTTGGGGCCTTAAAATGTATTTTTTTCACAGAAATGCTTGTTTGTAGTTCTGATTGCTGAATGTCTCTACACCGTGCTTCGCGTTAGCCATCTGCAGATTTCCTATGACTGCTTTCGCTCTACAGCTTTAATGTAAAAGGGAATGTACACACACACGCCATGCACTGGACACATCGCCTTGTCTGTGTGGAAACCTCCACGGCTGTGGACTGTGGACAACAAGCTAACCGTCTCAGCCTTCTGAATGTCAGCAGAGGCGTTGCTCCAGCATCCACGCAGCCGTTTTCCTGACTGTATTGTAAATCCGGAGCGTTCACCACGTAGCAGTGAAGCCTCCACCAGTGTGAAACACACAAAGCCCTGCAGCATGATTACCTGTCAGTTTCACTGTAACACAAGAAAATACTGAATCTGGTTCAATGTTATTAAATCCCACAGCTCTCCCTCTCAACAGTTCGTCGTATTTCTGTCCATAAAGCATCTGATGATAAATTTAGCACAATAAACTCACACAGGAGATACAATAACCTGGTGTCAAAATAAGGTGTTAATTTATAAAGTCATACATTAACAGCAACAATATTCAGTTTATCAAATAATTTTCTTTTAAATTTTAGCCATATTATTTATTCACTTATGTCAGTTTCAAACTGAATATTTGGTTATCAAGCTAAATATTTTGATTTAAAAGGAAATACAGACATTTATAATGGATCTACAGCTATAGTGACCTGCAGGAGTTTATAGAAAACTCAGCTTTTTATTTAGCTTCATAAATATTTAGTTAGCAAGCTAAATATTATAAGGACAAAAAGTGAACACAGTAAATACGAACCATATTCGGTAAGTAAATAAATCTGAGGTCTGCCATCATTAAATCACCTTTGAGCATCGCTTCGTGTTTCCCTAAGAGACGGATAAACGGACGCCTGCCTCGCAGCCTGATCCGGCACCATCTGTCCGATCGGATCCGGCCCTGCCAAGCGGCTCCTTCTCATCCAAGAGATGCATTCCTCTTTCTCTCTCATTTCAGCCCAACTCCCTCCCTCCTCCTGCTTATCATTTAAATCAGATCTGAACTGGAAGCTTTAAAACCATCAGATGGACACAAAGATCCTCGCACTGAACTGGACAGGGGAGATTTTTTTATTAGAGTAACAGTTGTAAACTATTCTGTAAGACATGAATCTGGGGTGCAAACACAGAAAAGCCTTGGTCCTTTTAGATGCAACATATTTTCATGTTGCCATGGTTACAGTTAGTAGAGGAAACTTCTCAAATAAGGAGCTTTTTGATATTCTGTCCTTTTTTAGTCTTCCTTCTGGGTTTGTTTGTCGTCACTGCGGCTGTGAGATGAGCTCCTCTCTTCGCTCGGCGCTGATGAAGAAGCGTAGTTTCCTAGGCAACAGCCGGACCTCTACGGGCATCGCCTCGTACTCCTCATTGTCGATGTTATAGAAGCCGGCGGCGCCCTGCAGGAAGCGAGGCGCGCGGTTACCAACGGATTTCACAGAGCAGATCAACTCACACACATCTGGTGAGACTTCCTCACCTCCGGCAGCGTCAGCCGGCAAACGCTGGCCTCCAGTTTGGTCGAGTTTTCAGTGAAAAGTGTCGGATCCTTCACTTTTTTATTCCTAAGAGAAACAATGTGTAGAGTAAAAACATGGAAGTTCATTTAATCTGCTTTGGATGAGCAAAGACACCGACCCGACAGAGATGAACTCGCCCACAGTTTTGTTTCCTGGCTCAGCGCAGATCATCAGAGAGTCATTTATCCGCTACAAATACACACATAAAAATAGGGTTTAATGATATTTATAATGGCAGAAAAGATTGAAAACATTAAAGTAATTTCCTTCTGACCCGCTCTGCTGGGTTTTTATTGTGGGTTTGGATGTAGAGCTCTGCTGTATTCAGCTGCTGCTCCTCCCACTTCTCTGGCTCTTCTGGTTTCAGAGGCTCTGAGGAATAAACCAAAACTTACTCTGTTAATAACACTAACCCCGTTAGTCAAACCAGTGGTTTTCAAACAGCGCCCCCTGCCGCCACCAGGGGGCGCTGTAGTGGGCCTCAGAAAGTTGGTGGAAACGTGAGAAAAATCTTAAATTTGTCATCATAATTTTCATTTTGTTTTTCAATTATTTTAAAATAAAATACAAGTTAAACTAATTGATTACTTATGTAATTTCTGATGCTCATTTTCTGATTGGCTGCCAGTCAAATTCATGAAGCTGCTTTGCTCCTCCAGCTAAGAAATGGAAAAGTTTCTGACGAGAAAAAAACTAAAGAAAACACAAAAACATAAGAACTGTGGGATTAAAATAGAATGTGATGTGATTAATATAAGATATTGTATACTTTTTTTTCTAAGGGGATTACAACGGAAAAAAATGTACTATCTGGTAATAAAGTAGTAATATATTATCAGATAATAAAAGTTACAGAACTGATCGCTGTTAAAACCAGATGGTACAAGGTTAGCATTTATACAAAATGAATGCGATAATTATCCAAGAGTGAATAAAACTATTCTAAAAGGTGATGTTTATTTGGGAATGAGGTTAATGTTCTTTTGGGGTCCATGGCATTGGAACGTTTGTGAACCCCTGATTTAAACATGAACACATGACAACGTGCCTGCAGCCGGAGGGCTCCAGTAGTTTTTCAGTCTGCGGATGATGCGGTGCAGCAGATTAGGCCTGGGGGGCCTCTGAGGGTCCAGATCAGGGGGCCGAGGTCTGGGAGCCAAGAGGGACACCGAGACGTCATGGACCAGAGGCCACTCCTACAAAACATGAACACAACTAAACATGGTGGTGGCAGCATCATGCAGCTCAGCTGATGGGAAGAAGGGAGGAGCTAAATAATCCAGAACAATCACCTTCAGCAGGAAAATCACCCTAAACATGAAGCCAGAGGCATTATTGGTTTGTTTAGATCAAAGCTGTTAATGTTTTAGAATGGCCTAGTCAAAGTCCCGACTTAAATCCAATTTAAAAACTGTGGTAAGAGTTGAAAATGATGAGCTTCTTTGTGTTTGGTAGCCATGAAATCCCAGTAAAGGCCATAAAAGGGGACCTATTGTGCAAAATTCACTTTTTGACATTTTTATTCTTCCTTTTGGGTTTCAACTGCATCTGAAAATTAAGTGGTTAGAAGAAACATCCAGTCAGGATTTTCTGGCAATAAATTTATGTTTTTTGTTAGAAAGAAACTAAGTGGTGCTGTATCGTTCCCTAGCAACCCAAGCTGAACTCCAGCACATTTAATCAACTGGTTTTATCACTGTATGCAAATTACAATGGCTGCTGGAAAAGACAAGTGTTTTGTTATTAACTTATCATCCAGAAACCACTTGCTGCATTCTTGTTGGTTGTGCAGGAGGCTCCACTTCTGCTTTTCAAAGATGTACATTTGCATAATAGTTGCAGTCATTTTCTTGTGTAAATGTTGAGTTGGGGGGCGTGGCCAGCAGCAGCTAATTTGGATTTAAAGTGACAGAGGCCTTAAAACAGCTCATTATGAAAGGATCTAAAAAAAAGAGATTAAAATCTTATTATCTAACAATGATTTTGTGCAAAAAAGTTTTATAGCCCATAAAAGCATAATAGGTCACCTTTAAAGTTTGTGGTTGTAATATGACAACATGGGAAAAAGTTCAAGGGATTTGCATACATATGGACATGAAATAAAAACAACCCAGTAAGTAATGCCTAGTTTTCTTCAGCAGGGGTGGAGGCTCACCCTCAGGGTGTGGAACCAATGAGCCGCGTTTGTCTTCAGGGGTCCGAGGTACCAGTATCTACCCGGAGAGAAGAGCTGTCAGAAAACCGTTCCTTATTGCCCAGACTCATAATCTGCTCCTGTCTGCATCATTTTACTTGCTGATCTTTGCGGCGACGTCTCTGAAGGCGCCCCAACGCAAACCAATCAGAGCAAACACCGGCTGCTCCTTCTCTCCCTGCAAACAAACATTAAAAAGTTTAAATCTACAACAAGAATTATCACTGTAATGATAAAAAAACAAGACATCTTTAATAAAGATTCAACTGGTTGTTTTTACAGCAGAGTATTAGGGCAAAGCTAAGAAAAAAGGTTAATAAGAATACATTTTTACAGCATAACTTAATTGTTGTATTATAACTTTATTGTTGTAATTCTAATTAATTCTCATATTTTGACAATTTTCCTATTATTACAACTTTATTCTTGCAACTTTATTCTTGTAATTTTACAACTTTATTTTTGTAATATTACAACTACTTTGGTTACGTTCCGACTTTATTCTGGTATTGTAACGGCTATATTTTCATAGTTAATGTTTTTCTTAGAATGACCCTAAACACTCTGTTGAAGTTTTTGACCCAGAATAAATTCAGATAAAGTTATGGAAGACGTTAAACTGAAAGACTTCCTCACTTTGATTTGAAGCACGTCCACAGGGACCGTCTCTCCTTTCAGGATGGACAGCGTGGCGGCCGTGATGTCCCTGAACGTTTCACAACGGAGACAAAACAAAATGCTCCAATAAGGATGGACGGAAATCAAAGTTAATCTTTTTCCAACATGCAACTTCTTCTTCTCCACTAAAATTAAAGGTTTTCAACATTCCTCAGAAAGAGATTATAGTGCTGCATGGCTGCTCATAAGGAGCTAAGCATGTATTTGTAGCATGAAGACAACAAGTTCGCTTCTGCCGTGCAGCAGGATGGTGGTGCTGCTTACTTGACTTTGTTGTCACTGAGGAAATGAAGAGATGGACTCAGGGAATTATGGGAACCCAGAGGAATGAAGCCTATCGGTGTGCTACTGAAGGCCTCCTGGAGTCAGATGAATCATTTCAGTTTTTCACTTAGTGAGAACAGATTTATTATTATTATCCTTATTTTATTAAACCCACTTGGTCCGGCCTCCGCAGTAAACCTGTGATGACCTCCTGCAATGTGCCGTCACCTCCAGCCACGATCAACATGTCTGTCTGCTCCATCAACTCCATCAGCTTCTTAGCCTGACCTTCATAGTCTGTCTGTGGAGGAGTTTGTAACCGCAGGGTTAAACATCTGGTGACACCAACATGTAAAGGCTGCTAATAAGAGCTGAGAACGACACCTTCACTACTGTGATTTCCACGCCAGCCAGGTGTAAAATAGGAGCTGCATTCTTTTCAAATAAGTTGTTGGCTTTCCTGAAGAAATTAAATTAAGGTTGTTTTTAAATACAGAGTACAAGTTTGATTTATGTAATAAAAATTGCGCAGGGACTCTGACTGTCTTACCCGTTGGAAGCTGCAGGATTCAGAATCACAGTTGCTTTCTTCAGTCTCTCCTGAGGCGCGATGTGCTGGCGTCCAAACTCCTGACGGAGCAACGATAGTTCAAGGTTTATGTAGTTGGTTTTTGTTGAGAATTTAAAAATATTATTATGAAGGAAACTTACTCTGGCCAGTTG